TCAATGCAATAAGGTAGAAAAATGAGACAAAAGACATCTACATTGGGAAGGAAAAAAGTAAAACTGTCTATACTCATAAGACATAACTGCCTATGTTAAATATCCAATGGAATTTACCGAAAAGGTACTAGAAATAATAAGTGAGTTTAGCCAAGATTGCAGGATACAAGATCAACATACAAAAATCAATTGTATTTCTATACACTAGCTCAAATGATTGGAAATTAAAAATTTTTTAATTTTAAAAGCAATACCATTTATAATAGCATAAAATTGTGACCTATGTAGGGATATACCTGACAAAAAAAATGGACAAGACCTGCAGACTGAAACTACAAAATACTGCTGAGAGATATTAAAAGGAACCCAGTAAATGGCACTGTGTTAATGGGTCAGAATACATAATATTAAGATTTCAATTCTCCCTAAATTGATCTATAATTCAATACAATGCCATCAAATTGCCAGCAAGTATTTCCTGTGGAAATTGACAAACTGATTCTAAAAACCACTTGGAAATACTAAGGACCTAGGAGAGCCAAAACAAGTTTGGAAAAAAAAAAGTTTGGATGGATAACACTACCTGATTTCAAGATTTATTATAAAGCTATAGTTATCAAAACAGTGTTGTACTGGCAGAAATATACACAAAATTATTCACAGAATAAAATAATATAGAAACAGATCCACATACACATAATCAATTATTTCTCAACAAAGTTGCAGTAACAATTCAAAAAATGCTGCTAGAAAAATTGGATAGTCATAGGCAAAAAAAAAACCCTACCACCACCACCAACAGAAATACTTTAATCCTTATCTCAAACCTACACAAAAATTATATTAAAAAATCATATTCCTCCCATAGATCAATGGAACAGAATAAAGAGCCCTAATACAAACCTAAGCATATATGGTCAACTAATATACGATAAAGAAACCATGGTTGTACAATAGGGAAATGACAACCACTTCAACAACTAGTGTTGGCAAAACTGGACAGCTACATGTTAGAGAATGAAACTGGGTTATTGTCTAACTCCATACAAAAAGGTACACTCAAAATGGATCAAAGACCAAAATGTAAGTCATGAGACCATAAAACTCTTAGAAGAAAACATAGGCAAAAATCTCTTGAATATAAACATGAGCAATTTTTTCCTGACCACATCTCCTTGGGCAAGGGAACCAAAAGCAAAAATAACAAATGGGACTACATCAAACTAAAAAGCTTCTGTACAGCAAAGGACACTATCAGTAGAACAAAAAGGCATCCTACAGTATAGGAGAATATATTCGTTAATGACATATCTGACAAGGGGTTAACATCCAAAATATATAAAGAACTCACATGCCTCAACACCCAAAAACCAAATAATCCTATTAAAAAATGGGTGGAGGATCTAAACAGACACTTCTACAAAGAAGAAATTCAGATGGCCAACAGGCACATGAAAAGATACCTCACATCACTAATTATCAGAGAAATGCAAATTAAAACCACAATAAGATATCACCTCATACCAGTAAGGATGACCAACATCCAAAAGACAAGGAACAACAAAGGCTGTGAGGATGTGGAGAAAGGGGAACCCTCCTTCACTGCTAGTGGGAATGTAAATTCCCATTTCAACCATTGCGGAAAGCAATATGGAGGTTCCTCAAAAAACTAAAAACAGAAATACCATTTGACCCAGGAATTTCACTCCTAGGCATTTACCTGAAGAAAACAAGATCCCAGATTCAAAAAGACATATGCACTCCTATGTTTACTGCTGCACTATTTATAACATCCAAGATATGGAAGCAACCTATATGTCCATCAATAGATGAATGGATAAAGAAGATGTGGTACATATACACAATGGAATATTATTCAGCCATAAAAAGAAAAGAAATCCTACCATTTGCAATGACATGGATGGAGCTAGAGGGCATTATGCTCAGTGAAATAAGCCAGGCAGAGAAAGACAAGTACCAAATGATTTCCCTCATTTGTGGAGTATAAGAACACGGCAAAACCGAAGAAACAAAACAGCAGCAGACTCAGGCTCCAAGAAGGGACTAGCGGTTACCAAAGGGGAGGGGTGGGGAAGGGTGGGAAGGGAGAAGGGAATTAAGGGGCATTATGATTAGCACATATAATGTAGGAGGTTAGCACATATAATGTAGGAAGGCAGTATAGCACAGAGAAGACAAGTAATAACTCTACAGCATCTTACTTTGCTGATGGACAGTGACTGCAATGGGGTGTGGACTTGATAATATGGATGAATGTAATAAACACAATTTGCTTATGTGAAACCTTTAAAAAATTGTATATCAATAATACCTTAATAAAACAATCATATTCCTAAATCTAAGAAAACATAAGAGAAAAACTTGTGACCTTGGGTTAGGCAAATATTTCTTGACATGATACGACACTAAAAGTACCAAGATAAAAACTGATAATCTTGAGCTCATCAAAAAATTCCTGCACTTTGAAAGACATTGCAGAGAGAATGAAAAGACAAGCCATATACTACAAGAAAATATTTTCAAATTTTTCTGGATATATATCTGGATATATATCTAGAATATATAAATATTCTCTACAAAGTAATTTATAAAAACCTAGCCCAATAAGATGGGCAAAATGTTTGAATAGTTTACTTAAGAAGAAATATGGATAGCAAGTCAGCACATGAAAAGATGCTCTACACCATTAGTTATTAGGAAAATGAAAATTTAAACCACACCTAATATAATGCCTAATGTGGAAAAGACTGATCATACTAAGTTCATAAGACTATAGAACAACTGGAGTGTTCACACACTGCTGGTGGGAATGTAAAATGTGACAACTAGCTGGGAAACAGTTTAGAAATTTCTTTAAAACTTAAGCATACATCTACCAGATAGCCTAGCCATTCCATTTCTAAATTTTTATTCAAGAGAAATGAAAGCATATGTCTACACATAGATCTGTATACAAATGGTCAAAAGCTTTATTTGTAACACTTACAAAAACAGAAACAATCCAAATGCTCAACAGTGCATGGATAAACAGTGAAGAAATTGTTGTCTATCCACACAATGAAGTACAGCTGACCCTTAAACAACATGCAGGTTAGGGGGGCCAACCACCTGTGCAATCAAAAATCCATGTATAACATTTGAATCCTCAAAAACATAACTAGTAATAGCCTACTGTTGACTAGAAGCCTTTACTGATAATATAAGCAGTCCATTATCACATATGTTGTAATATTATAGGTATTATATACCATATTCTCACAATAAAATAAGCTAGAGAAAAGAAAATGTTTTTTCAAATTGTCACAAATCTAAATCATTTCCAATATATTTACTGAAAAAAATGCATGTATAAGTTCAAACCCCTGTTGTTCAAAGGTCAACTGTATTACTTGATAATAAAGAGTAAGGAACTACTGATACACACTCTAACATGGATGAATCCCCAATTAATTATTCTGGGTAAAAGGAACCAGACCCTCTTCCTCCCCCAAAAAAGTATATTAGAATAATTCCATTTATATAAAATTCTAGAAAAAGTAACATCTATAGTGACAGATGGCATATCAGCAGTTGCCTGGGGATAAGTGGCCAGGGAAGGACAGGAGGGAGAGATTACAAAGGGTTATGAAGAGTCTTCAGGGGTAATGGACAGGTCCATTATCTTAATTGTGGTAATGATTTTGCACATGTATACAAATGTCAAATCTTACACATTTTATACTTTAAACACATGCAGTATATTATATATCAATTATATTTCAATAAAGCTGTTAACTTTTAAAATTAAGTAAAATGAGGAATGCAGTTCATCAGTTACACTAGTCACATTACAAGTTTTAATAGCCACATGTGGCTAGTGGTTACCATTTTGGACAACAGCCCACTTTCATCACTGCTCAAAATACTGGACAGCACTGATCTCTTACATAAAAAAGCATTCATTTCTTTTATTTCTCCTACGTCTACCTACCTCAAACCTCAAGAATGGGATATGCATCGTAGCATGGCACTGCTATGTAAATTACTAAAGATTTTTAAAAAGCAGATTTTATTAATGTAACTTTGCTCAGAAGCAAAATATACTTTCTATTCAGAAACATATAGCACACTGTTTCCTCATTTAGATACCACAATTTCTGTGGATCACATTTTAATTAGTTTTCACCAAAGCTCAAGTTGAGAACAATTTTAAACTAAATGACATGGAAAAAATGAAATAGATAACAGTCTCTTGGAATTTACTTTCTGCTTGTAATCTAAGTAGTTATAACTTCAACGTAACTCTTAAATAGGAATATACATTTTTCATATATTTATAGATATCTTAAAGAGTTATCTGAAACATGTGGCATCTTCCAGAATATTCTACATAACACAACTTAATTTTCCTTTTTAAAAGAAGCATGTAATTCACAACAAATATGATCAGAAGTTTCAAATGTGAGAACAGACATGAAAATAGAACAACTATGTTATGCCTTGAAATGTTTCACATTCAACGAACAGCTCATAAAATTAGCACAGAGAAGTGGTTCCACTTAGTACGCTTACTGAGGCTTTCTTTCTTTCTTTCTTATAGCTCTCAGTTTTGGGAGAGATAATTTTATTTTAAAAGACTCAAACTCTCTTTTCAGCCCCCACCATCGTAGCCTATGGACTTGGAAGGCAGAGTCTATGTTTGCTCAGTGTTTTTGTTTCAATACACAGAATGCAGGGCTGAAATCCTCAACCGTCCCTGTTTCAAAGCCTGATACATTAATCCTTTATGTACGGTTTGATGCCTGAGTCATCTCTGTCTTTTAAATTGAATAAAGAAAAAGGCCTGGGGCTGGGGGGAGAAGGGAGGCTGGTGGCCAGTGCAGACCAACCAAGACCACCGCCAAACAGGGTACTGTTGTATATAAGCAAGAAATATAAAAATAGAAACCAAGTCCCTCTGTTGTTTGCAGAAGCAGAACTCACAAGCCAGTTTCACTTACTTTTTTACACCGACAGAGCCATTTTCCTTGTTTTCCATGTCAACAGATAGCATGGGAAGGCAGCAGGGTTCCTTTACTTCAGCAACTAATCAATAAGGGAGAAAAGCTCGTGTTTAATTCTTAGAAAGTGAGAGAAGACTAGATATTCTGAATCAGAAACATAATGGTCCCTTTTATAGCTTCACACCAATCACGCGTGTTTGTTTAAATCTCTAGTCCCCTCAGCGGTTGGAGAGATGTGATTAAACCTACAGAACTAGAGGAGACGGACTGGGGTGCTTTTCTCTTTACTGGCACTCCCTGACTTGACAATAAGCATTTGCAAATGATACTGAACCCTTGCTCAATACAAGTGCTGTGTGAACGGGCACAGCTTCCCCTGGGTGCCAAGGCTCCCACTGAGGACACTGCAACTCAAATGAGTCAAAGTCGAGAAAAACAAGCCCCCCTTTCCTGCCCCTTCCCACCATGGGCTGTGACTCCTTTTTTCTTACTGCATTTGTTTTTTTGTCCACTCCAACACCGCCTATATTTTTTCATTGCATTGCAAAAGAGCACTTAACGCTTTTGTTGGCAAGTATTTCCGTACCTCACAGCGTCTCAACGAAAGCCTCAAAACCCTGTCTGTGAGGTGGTCATGCTGTGGTAAAGCTGGAAGCTCACGAAAATGTCAGATAGCCCTTAGCACAGAAAGGTGGTGCTGGTGTGTGTGCGTGCATGTGTGTGTGTGTGTGTGTGTGTGTGTGAGAGAGAGAGAGAGAGAGAGAGAGGTTAGGCAGTTCAGTAGCTATATGTAAAAATCAGCAAAACATTCAAGGAGATATAGTAGCATCCATCACTTTGTCTTTTTGTTTGGTAGGGTGAGGACTGTGACAAAATAAAAACCCTCCACAATTAATGTGCAATTAGCAAGACAAAAAAGCAATGAACAAAACTGCTTTAAAAAACTAGTTCTGAAATGTGCTTGTTCCTCTACAGTTGAAGCCATAAATTAAAAACATTTCCTCCCAAATCACTTTCTACTTCAGCACTCCTTCTCTAGGGATTACTCTGACATGACAAGTGCATCATTTAGTATAGTCACAAGATCTTATCACTGTTAGAGAAGTAGATGATTAACAAATAATACTGCAAGTGTGGGATAATCCTCACTCCTGATACACACACACACACACACACACACACACACACACACACACACACTCACACACACACAAACTTCCAATTGCTACACCACTTAGATCATTCATAGAGAAATCCCACATTTGATACAGGTATAGATATTCACATACATTCACACACCGTTACAGAGTAGACAGAAGACAGTGATGCTGCTCCCATGCCAAAAGAATGATTTCACTTCAGTTGCAAACTGTTACACATTCACCATTTTCTAAGCATCTCAGAAACAAAACAAAACAAAACAAAACACAATCATACTCTGTAACACCACACTACATTGTCTTATTATTATTGTCTTTTTTGTGGAAGAGTAAAAAGAAAACCTACCTAGAAGCAACTAAAACATGTCATTTTTTATAGGCTTATCAAGAACAGCCAAAGAAACCCCAATGTTTTCTTTCACAAAGTAGGCTGGCAAAGGAATTCAATAAGGAGGTACAATTTGACACAGTGAAATAAAACCAGGCTGGCTCTTAGCCAGCATGACGTTAGGAATCACACACAAGCTGCACCAACTGCCTTCTAGTTCATGGCTGACTTTTTAAAGCTACAGTGTGCCTGTTCACTTTTGCTAACTGCCCAGCACAATTAGTGGAGGTGAATGAATTCACGAGTCCAAAAACTGCAGAATCCTCTCTGCACCTGTCATGTACAAAGAAAAACAAGCTGTATCAACAGTATCTGATTTTTTTCTCTCCTTCATTGTTGCTGCATGATATGTCTTTGCTGTTGTTCTGAGCATGAAATGTCATGTTTCAATAACTTTCTTTTTCTCTTCTGTGGGAGAAAACAAGAAAGAACCCAGTGTTTATGGGCTACAACTGGTAAACAGTCAGAAGCTGCAATCCTGCATTACTCTTTCTTCCTAATAGAGACTCATGGACAAAGTTGTCAGGGCTGGCTTTTGAGTAATCTCTTTGTGTGAATAAGGAAAGCCCTGCCCAGCAGAAAATCCTTTTACTTCATTATGCAGGAAGTAACATATTTCAGAGAGGATGCAAAGTAGATGACCAGATCTCCTGAGAACGCCCACATTCTTTTATTTTGGCATTCATCCTACCAGACGAAGTCAGCAAAAATTCAAAATGGAACAAACCTTAGTCTACAAAACAAGTAATTCTGTGAAGTTTAATTTAACTGATTATCCCAGTTACACAAAAAGCATAATTCAATAAATTCAACTAACATTTACTATCTCTGAGTACCTATTTAGTTACATAGGAAAAAGAAGATAATATTGTCAACCCTCAAATTCATAGTATCATCCACCACCATCCTAAATCCCAATTTAGGAAATTGGGAGGTGGAGTAGAAAAACTGGGCATGATCTTTTGATGAAGCTACCCTGGTTAATCTCACAGTTCTCTTGCTTGGCGGGGAATCACTGCTGGAGGGAAACAGGCCCATTCCACAAGCACCATGCAGTTACACAGGAAACAGAGTTGTCGTTGAAATAAATATCAAGCAATATTTGGACACTTTTAAAGTCAAGATGTCAATAAAGCCACTCAAGATAGGGTAAAGAATGCAGGTTTTCAAGAAAGATCCTAGAAAAAGTCATCTGCTGCTATAATATCATGTAGACTTCAGGCAGATTTAAGAAGGAAGAAGCCCACCTCCCTTTTTTTTTTCCATTAATCTTTAAGGGCACTAGAAGATCAGCAACTATGATTTAAATTTGCATCCTGAATTTCAAAGTCAAAATTGTTTTCCCTTACTTATTCCAGGAATATTCGAAATTTTCAACTTCTTGAAAGAGCACCGTTGAGAAAGATGTAGGAGTGCTGTCGACCCGTCTTCGCTAATTGTCCCCTTGAAAAAACAAGTAATAATTTAGGGATGAATTCTAAGTGTTCGTGTATTTTTGAATACCATTTTTTGAGCATGGGTCAAATAGGTGGGTCTTTTACCACCCCTGATCAAAACAATGAAGTCTTCTAGAGATAGAAAGCTCTTTCACCAAGTTTCATAATGCTTTTATACTTGATCTGTAATTCCTGAATTGTTCTCCAACTACATTCAAATAGAAGGGGTCTGAGCTGTGAGTCACGTGGGCAACGGACAGGGAAGAGAGTGTACTGACAGCACTGACATGCCATGGCTCAGAACAAAATCGGCTGAACACTCTTGAAAGGAGATGCAAAGAAAATAGTTACACCCAACTCTTGCTTTCACATACAGGAAAAAGGATTCTGTGAAGTTTCTCCAAGAGTTTCTTCCTACACATAGAAAAGGACATCCCCTTCTGTCCTGCCTGCTGTGATCAAAAGTTTGCCCGTTAGACAAAAGGTTTCAAGTGTTCTAGAAAATCAATCCCGTTTTATAAAAAATGAGCTACAAAGGCAGTCTAAATTCTGAGCACGGGAGGTTTCACTTACCACCTAGTTTCTAATTCCGGAAAAAATTAACATTTGTGGGTATAGGTATATATACTACAATCACCCATTTTCCTCCACACTCCCTCCAACAAATGACCCTCTTCTCTGCTAATAAAAATGATGGGTGTCTGCAGGGTGTAACTAAGTCCGGTGTGTAACATGTGCGTGATGAATGTGTGCGTTATATGTATTGTGTTGGGTGGTATGTGCGTGTTTGTAGAATGCGTAGTGTGCTTGCTGTGTTTGTGTGAGTGGTGTAAGTGTAGGGTGAGAGAGATGCAGACAAAAGCACCTCTGATCCAGGATATTATGGGATGTGTTAAAATAACTTTGGAGATCTTCGCGTTGGGATCTGGGGCAGAACTTTGTAGCACACTTGGGAGTTGGCTCAGATAGACTGGAAGATGGGTCGGGAAGGCGGAGAAAATGGTGCCTCCGGTCGTTCCACTGGCTTCTTTTCTTGATCAGCACTCATCCCCCAGAGATCCAGCGCAGGCCCAGAGGAAACACCCGCCCTTGCCTCCAGTTCAGGAATCCTCCCATAGCAAAGGGCAGACCTAGGTCCACGTGGCTGCAGAAGAAATCTCGAGAAGTCGCCCGAGGGCCGGGCTGAGCTCAACAAGGGTGTCTCAAGGGAAAGCGACCTGCCGAGCAGGCGGTGGGGATAAGACAGAGGGCAGGGGAGGGGGCGCCAAGAAGCTTCTTGGACCAGCGGCGCTATCCGATAGTCAAACGACTCGCTTGTGGCATCGGAGACAGAGAGAAAAGTTTCTGGCTAAGACTTTCAAGAAGAAACTGTTAAAGAGTTTTTAGCTTGGGGGCTCTCTCGGAGAGCCCGTCTATGGAAAGGGAACGTGGGGGTCTGGTGCTCGCTGTGCGCCCAGCCGAGCCGTGCACCACCCGGTCCCATCCTGAGAGCTCTGCCCCGCAGCCCCTGGTGAGTCACGGCGCTCCGCCCGGCGGGGCACGCTTCTGCCCCCAGTTCACTGCAGGGTGACAGATTCCACGCTCACGGGTGCAACAAGCTGCACGGGACACACACCAGAGACGAAGGAGGGCAGGGCGGTTTTTATTGTGTTTTTCTTCACTTCCTTGCATCCTGGAGAAGGGAGAGGGCGGGCGCATCCCCAGCGCCCTGGCAGCACGAGCGGATCACTTACCTCCCCGCATGGCCGGCGCCGGGAGGCTGTGCCCCGTGCAGAGCTCGGCGGCCGCCACGCGCCCAGCCCCGAACAGCCGGCCGGCGGGCGCGCAGCACGTCGGGACTTGTAGTCCTCCGCGGGCGGGGCGGGGGTCCGAGCCGGGGCCGCCGGGAAGGCGAGGGGCCGGGAAAGGAAGCGGTGTGGGCGGGGCCTGGTGAGTGTGAAGGGGACGGCTGCCAGAGCTTGAACCCTCTGGGGACCTGTGGGTGGAAAACACTCCTGGAGAGACTTTTAAACTAGGGGTTTTCAGGCTCATACCGTTTTTTTGCCGGTCTTAAACGTGCTCATGGCAACCCTGATGAAGTTTCAAACTGGGTTGGGCAGTAAGGACAAGTAGAGATTTCCCGGGCCAAATTCACATTACTGAGGACCTTATTCTCCTTTACCCCGAACACGCACGTGGCATTCTCTTCTGTTGCTCACGGAGTAACTTAGTTGAAGCCCTGAGCATGCAAAGGGAAGGTGAATGGTTGAACTTTACATTTATTGAGCACTCTGCGGTTTACAAAGCACTTTTTACATTAATTGACTTATAATTGTAGAACCCTAAAGCAACACTAAGTTAAACAGAAAAACTCAAGTTGGATGAAGTTTTTT